CAGGATGGGGCACAAGACAGAGCCACAGACAACTCATCCAGGGGGTGCTGGGCAGTTCCCACCACTGCACGTACCCCTGGGGAAGGTATGGGGGCCATGTGGCCCCTGGATCTGTGTGTGGGGCAAGGGTAGGCTGCTGCTTCAGGTTCAGGGCTGGGTTCTGTGCCAGCCTCTTCCCAGCAGGAGGGGCAGGCCAGAGTGGACAGCAGCACTGGAAGGAGAGGTTACGGGGGAGCTATGGCAAATTTTTGGGTGGCTATAACCCACCCTGTAGCTTCCCCCACAGCATCAACACCGCCCTCCCCACCCCAAGTGCAGCCCCAGCCCAGCCTCCCTGCCAGGAAGAGCTCAGCACAACCCCCAGCCTCGAACTCACATTAGCAGCCCTCCCCACACACACATCTGGGGGGACGTGCCCTCCATGCCTCCCCCCAGGGTGTGCAGCAGTGGGAGCCACCCCTCTTGTCCTCTGGACAAGCTATGCCATGTTTCCATCCCACACCCAACCCCACCCTGACTGTGCAGCGCAGGGCACTGTGGGGACTGCATCCCAGCCCCAAGCCCTCCCTCACCATGGGGGCCTCAATGTGCCCACCCATGTCCCTTCCCTTCCCCACGCCCCTTCCCCCCAAAATAGACTTACTAGCTAAAGGTTGCTCTCCATGCTGCCAGGCTGCATATCAGCAATTGGATCAGTGTCAGCGGATATGGCTGGGCAATAATCTGCCATCAGCACTGGCCCAAAAAATCTTTATCGGTGCATGCCTAGTTTCTGTACATCAAAATCTAGAGCATGTCCAACACATGGCTTTCAGATAGGACCTGGCACCACAAACCTTTTCTATAGTCCACAACACCCTCTGCAATAAATAAATGGATCCATCTGCAGCTGCCTTGATACTGCAGTAGAAAAGAAAAAAGAGGAAGCAGGAACCAGAAGCACAGAGATCACATTAAAGAGTGGAAGAAGGACAGAGAGAGACAAGAAAAGGAAGGAAAGATTACCCCCAAGAGAGGGATAAAAAGGAGGTGGTCAAGTTCCAAATGGGTTAGTGGGTAAAAAGAATAAAAATGAAAGTAAGGTGCTCACTAAACATGGAGGGATGTATGTGACAGAAGAACATGTCATCAATACATTTATTTTTATTACACCTCCAATTTAAATGTAATAGTTTTACCAGTTAGAAGGGGTACAGTCTATAGTTAGAAATGTATTAACTAATAATAGTTAGGAAGAAAAAGTCAGTGAAGACTGTCAATTTCTTTTAAAAAGTTAATGAACTGGAATCAGATTATGTATGCAAGAAGTTATACATACAGGGGATTGATTTGTTTTCTCTTGCCTTGGTCCCTTAACTCTCATTTATTACAATATTTACCACAATGTCTCTTAGGTTTACTCTACAGTGGGGGGAGAAAGGGAAAGTGAAGGAAGTACTGCACCAGGACATCTTTATCAGTGCAAAAATGTATATATATATATCCAATGTAGACTGAGTCTTTGGATTCTGGGAATAAGTCGAGGAAATTCATTCCTTCCCCAGCTCGATAATCGTAGTTTCGAAATTTTGTACTGTTAAAATCTACCAAGAAAACTAGAGTAGCCAAAAAACTTTACTGGATTACAACTTGTCTACATAGAGAATAACCTAAAGGAAGCTAGGGAATAAATTTACAGTACACTAACTACTATACGAGCTCTACATGTGGACACTTCCAGTGAGCCCTACCCACCCCTTTAGTTCTGAGCATATCTCTAAGTGGTTTGGACACAAGCTTCCCATGGCCATTTGCTATATTAAATATGACTTTTTTCAATTAATCAATAGTTTCAAAAGATCTGTTCTTATAAAGCCACACAGTTCCTTTTAAAAGGGGTTAGAAACTTCTAAGAAAGGTTACAAAGTTATAAAGCAATTTCATTTTAATTCATACCAAAAATTGCAGGCTATTATTTGTAGTAGGGCTGTCCAAATGTGAGCACAGGGACCTCCAACTGAACAGGACCCCCAAGTCCCCCCACTGCACAGGCAATGCAACATCACCCCACTGCCATGCAGGTCTCCTACTATGCAGGCATGAGCTCTCCTGGCCCCCTCCTGCCATGCTGCCCTGCCCCACCCAGAGACCCTGGCTGCTGAAGCTGCAGAAAAAAAATGAAGGCAGTGGCAGCTGGCAGGGAGTCTGTGGGCTGGTGTTAACCCTTTATTTGCCAATGGAGGCTCACAAGCTGCCAGTTGAAAACCCCTGGTTTACAGTAATGCAAAATTATATTAAAAGCCCTGAAGTAAATGAAAACTAAGGTTTAACTAAAGTCTATTACTCAAAAATTAGGAAATGTCAGAATTAAAACTGTCCATTAAACCTTCATTCTACTCACTTGTGTGCATATGTTAGGATAATTATATGATCTCACACCATTTTTTCCCAGAGGACCAGTGCCCCAATGAGCACACACTTCTATGATCTTCATTCAGTCTGTATGGTCCCTAGCCCCAAAATACTATTTACTGTATACTTTCCAAATGATGAATTTAGAATACAGGATTCTAAATAGTTAGGCACTGTTGGCTACTTATATAGTGAATCACTCCTGTTGATTTCAAGCACGCTTGTTGGTGCTCAGCTGTTCTGAAAACCTGAATGAAAATGTCAGGAAAACACAATTAATGACCAGCTAAAAAAAGTTCAGTTTTAATGATTTGCCCGCCAAACTTCAGATAGAAACTCTGTGGGAGAGACAGGTGCTGAATCCAATTTTTTCAGGACAGCATTCACTGCCTTAACAATAAAACCATCCTTTTTCTACCTACAATCCAACCTCACTCATTAAACTTCTTCCAACTTCTGCAGCCCTTATTCATTCCTAAATCAGAGCCCACCCTATGGACTGCATGATGTGATGCACCCAAAAATACCATGTGGAATCATGTAATTAAACACTGGATTACACTGTACATGTACAATGCAGCCAAACTAAGACTGAACAAGGAACATGGATTCTGACGTATCCTAGTTTTTGAGGGCTTGACTTCAGTATAATTTCCTAGGTCTTTAGAAAACAACTAAAAAAAACCCAGAAGTTTCATCACACGAAAGGTATACCAGTTTCCACAATTATCTTCAGATACAGATTTACATCAACTTTGCTAATAAAGCTACTCATAGGTGTAGTAGGTTGATACTCATTACCTGAACCAACCAAAAAAATACCACTTTACCAGTGAGTTTCACAGCAATCTGCTACTCAGCACAGTAAATACCATTTTGCCGATTATAAGTAGACTTATTTCCCAAAGAGGGACATAAAAATCACACTCAAAGGGCTGTCAACCTATAACCAGAACTATACTATACAGAGGAGATGACCCTGCATGGCACACTGCCTGGCCCTAAAGGTGCCATACAGGGTCATCTACTCTGTTATGATGGTAGCAAGAATGGTTCAGCTCATGCAAGGAAGGGCCACAATTTTTTGGTGATCCAGATTGCCAACACCACACAGGTCCGGGATTGATATTGATCCCTTTGGGTTCTTCCCCCAATTAGCTGATACTTGTGGGATTTTGTAACAACAACAGCACTTCAACGACTATCTGCAGTTACTGATTTATATTTGGGGGGGGGGGGGGGGGGAAA